GCCCGTGTTTTACTGTGAGCGGTTATTTTTATGGTGTTAGTAGACTGCATGTCGTTAGCTACCGTGTTGTCGCTGTAGCGTGAGAGGCTCGGGAGCGCGCACAGGGCTGAATCCGACCGGTGTCTCACATTAAAAGCAGAATAGTGACTGATGCAGGCAACAAGAAAACAGGCGTGTGCTTCATTTTTAAGTGAGTTTTGAGCCCACTGACAATAAGGCAATGACAATTTGATTTATTAAAATCAAAAACTTACATATAGCCCCTTTAAAGGGTGGTATTTAACAAACTCCTTCTAGAGCAGTGGTTCTTAACCTGGGGGTCGGGACCCCCCTGCCAAAACGGGGGTCAATGGATAAGACACATGCCCGTGGTGTGAGAGACCCGGGTTCAATCCCCCTCTGTAACCCATCCACCATTGTGTCCTGAGCAAGACACGTAACCCTAGTTGCTCCAGAGGCGTGTGACCTCTGACATAATGACATGAATAAATGTAAAAACATGAAGTTGTTATAACTTCAGTGTACATTCTCACATCTGCACCAAATTAACATGTATGGTAGTAGTCCCACCCTGAACACATCTATCCACGTCACTTTCACTCAAAGTCATAGCGCCACCTACTGGCAACAGGAAATTACACTTCTACATTGTGATGAACTACTCATAGCAGGTTGTATAATCGTCAAAACTGTCCCAGAAAACCCTAAACACATTGACGATGCCATGTTGTAAAACTGAGTTTTGGTTAAATGGTGTGGTGGTGGCATGGCGGCGAAGTTCAGCGCTTCGCCATGACACAGGAACTTGTTGAGTTATTAATCTGTAAAAACTTCATCCATAAAGTTTTAACTGAGCTCTGTCTCTACATCACAGTAACAACTTTCTGTCCTTTGACTGCCTGGAGTTTAGCTAGTGTTTGAAAGGGAGAGGAGAGGGTGTTTTGAGGGCGTGTCGGAGTAGCTGCTTGGCAAGTGTTATATGACACGGCATACATGCATTACAAATGAGCTGTTTTCAGAGCAGAGTTTTCTGTTGGAGATGGGAACTCCCTTTGGGCTGGACTTTGGGCTTTTTCACTTTGCAAACCTGTTACATGCACAAAAAAGAAATCAATAAAGGGAGGGAAAAGGCCAAAAAGCATAATACCACCTCTTTAACACATTGATGATGTCATGTTGCAATACCACATAGGGGACAAGGAAGTGACATTTAAGTCTTTCCTGCAGTATCTGAAGTGTGTGACAATTCAGAACCGTGTTGGCAGATGTGCAGCATCTGATGAGCAACTGTGGCACTCCAAGATGCGCTTCACGTGCAAGGCAAGGTTATTATAGTATTTGATTTGTCATTAGATTTTATTTTTATTTCGTTTTGACTTTTGTTTTCCATTTCAGTTTAGTTTAAATTAGTTTTTAACATGGATTTGCTAGTTTAGTTTATTTTTTGTAAAAAAAAAAACAAAACAAAAAAAACAAAGACCAGCAGACACATTCATCCAGTGCATCCTGGTGTGGGATAACCCAAGTTTATCCCACACCAGGATGAGCTCTAAGCAGACCATCAAAACAAGGAAAAGAAAACCACCAAGACAGTGACTCACTACCTGCAACCCGAACTAAACACAACTAAAAAACATCCCACCAATCCCCCCAACTACACAGCTGATCCCTACCTGGGTCTCCCCGACTAAGTTAGCCTCCCCCTAACGTTACATGGGGCTCTCCTCGTAACAGTGGTCACCCCCTGCTATGCTTCGGCCAGACGCCGCCCTGACCCCAGGTTCTCTTGATGGATAAAGCAATCGTGGCAGGACAGCCACACGACACGCAGTGTGCCAGCTCTTCATGCGGCTCACCAACAGGTGGCTAATCACAGCGCTGCTGAACTGCCGGTCCGGACATACCAACTGCCCTGCAACGTCAGTTCCCAAGGCTTCATAATCACTCGAAATGTAGGCGTCGGTCCTATGAAATAAATACATGAAAACTAAGGACATTTACTCTTTCATTTTAGTTAGTTTTGCAAACCTACAACACCGATTCAGGATCAGGGTAGAAAGGCCTGTGACCTTTGTGAGGCAGGAGGCAGGGAGTAAACCAGCGGGACAATATCAGCTAGATGTGATGCAGCAAACACCCAGTCATCATGCTCAGTTGGTTCCACTCCTATAGAATCAGATTTATATATGTGCAATACAGCTTTGAGTGGAAATGAGTTAGTAGCCTGTAGACTACATGAAAAATGGTTGAACATGGTGATTAAGAAAAATCCAGGAACATACAAATGTGTGCAAACTTGTGCACACTTACATACTTAGCAGGACAATGGTAAAGGAAGTTCTCAACAGGAAATAAATGAAATGCCTAAATATAATAATAACGTGTGTGTGTGTGTGTGTGTGTAGGGCTATGCTCCAGCTCCAGTCATGTACAGCTCTCCTCCACCAGCAGCAGCCAGTGACCCTGTTAAGGAGGAGTTCAAGATGGAGGATATGGTTTCCTCATCTGGCGACCCCCTGCTGACTGCTATATCACAGGTAGATGCACACATACAAAGAAAAATATAAACTAAGAATATTCTAGAAATATTATATTGATGTTAAATTACTGAGCCCAGTATGTTCCAAGTCACTGTATGATAGAACTATACATTTACCAGTGATTTGTGGTGCGTGGTGTGGCAGGGACATTTCAACACACACTCACACTAACACACACACAGACACAAACTGTGGCACCTTCTGCTCCACTCACCATATTTCCTTTCCTTCTTTTTACGTTTTAGTTTTCAGTGCACATTCATACTCAATTGTATCTGTTAAAGCAACTTAATCATATTGTGTATTTGTGGAGGCTACTATATTAAACCTTCAGTAAGGAACCTTAAAGGATGGTAATTTTTTTTAAATTAATTTATCAGGGCCCGAGAACATGCATGGCCATAGCGTGGCAATGAATTTTGATGTTTTGCCATGAAAAAGGAAGTAGCAGGTAAATGGACTGGACATGGTAAGTTCTATGTTCTCTATTGCTCTGGTTTTCATTGACATGAAATGCCTCCAAAGCACCAACAGACAGCGCTGAATGACCAAACATTCCTGGCACACCACAGTGTAGCTTGTAAATATATATTTTTTGAGGTCCAGTCCACTGTTGTCTCATAAAATACATAGAGCAACTACTTTAAGGAAGCACTGATATCCATGTAAACATTGATTGCATTTAGAAAGATTAACAACATACAAATTTAAAAACAACCACTGAAAGTCAGTGGGAACTGAACACCAGACAGGTGTTAGAAGTTCAAAGCAATTATCACTCCTGCCGGAGGTAGGATTCGAACCTGGGTCTGATTTAAAAGGGCTGCTCAGGAAACTAACACTCTAACCAAGTGCATAGAAATAGAAATGTGCATTTGCTTAAAAAAGCATCATTTTGGTGTTTTTAATTAGTGCTTGAGTAGATGAGCATAAAAATGTTTTGTCCCCCATCCAAGAGACTGGTAGGGAAACTCGGCTATTTAACCTCAGTGGGAACCATTCATTTTTGTGGGTTGTTTTTTTAGGTGGGTTTTGTTGTCTTAAAAGTTACTCGCACACTGTTCATGAAACAGATACTGTTGTGGAGAAGTTTAAAGCTGGATTTGGATACAAAAAGATTTCCCAAGCTTTAAACCTACCAAGGAGCACTGTGCAAGCGATAATATTGAAATTGAAGGAGTATCAGACCACTGCAAATCTACGAAGACCCGGCCGTCCCTCTAAACTTTCAGCTCATACAAGGAGAAGACTGATCAGAGATGCAGCCAAGAGGCCCATGATCACTCTGGATGAACTGCAGAGATCTACAGCTGAGGTGGGGGACTCTGTCCATAGGACAACAATCAGTCGTATACTGCACAAATCTGGCCTTTATGGAAGAGTGGCAAGAAGAAAGCCATTTCTTAAAGATATCCATAAAAAGTCTTGTTTTAAGTTTGCCACAAGCCACCTGGGAGACACACCAAACATGTGGAAGAAGGTGCTCTGGTCAGATGAAACAAAATCGAACTTTTTGGCAACAATGCAAAACGTTCTGTTTGGCGTAAAGGCAACACAGCTCATCACCCTGAACACACCATCCCCACTGTCAAACATGGTGGTGGCAGCATCATGGTTTGGGCCTGCTTGTCTTCAGCAGGGACAGGGAAGATGGTTAAAATTGATGGGAAGATGCATGGAGCCAAACACAGGACCATTCTGGAAGAAAACCTGATGGAGTCTGCAAAAGACCTGAGACTGGGACGGAGATTTGTCTTCCAACAAGACAATGATCCAAAACATAAAGCAAAATCTACACTGGAATGGTTCCCAAATAAACATATCCAGGTGTTAGAATGGCCAAGTCAAAGTCCAGACCTGAATCCAATCGAGAATCTGTGGAAACAAACGCTCTCCATCCAACCTCACTGAGCTCGAGCTGTTTTGCAAGGAGGAATGGGCAAAAATTTCAGTCTCTCGATGTGCAAAACTGATAGAGACGTACCCCAAGCGACTTACAGCTGTAATCGCAGCAAAAGGTGGCGCTACAAAGTATTAACTTAAGGGGGCTGAATAATTTTGCACGCCCAATTTTTCAGTTTTTTATTTGTTAAAACGTTTGAAATATCCAATAAATTTCGTTCCACTTCATGATTGTGTCCCACTTGTTGTTGGTTCTTCACAAAAAATTACAGTTTTATATCTTTATGTTTGAAGCCTGCAATGTGGCCGAATACTTTCGCAAGGCACTGTAAAGTGCAGACTGCACACACAGAAGAGTGTCACACATGCTTTTACTATTTTATTAAATCACACGCATTTTGTGGTTATGTAATCGCACATTATGACATCGCGATTGCGATTAGCTTAATTGTGCAGATTATTATTATTATTGCAAATCTTACAAAAATAAATTTATTATTTAATTTTTTGAAATATAACAGAAACACAAAGTAGTATTGATAGCATATTATGTTGGCTCTGGGCAGGTGGGTCTGTGCTTGGTGGTACCGTATGGGCCCAGTGAGGCGTTGACTCATCCTGCTTCGCCTCTAAACCCAATAGCAATGGCCTTAGAGGGCGAGTATAGGCACAGCCCTCTAAGCAGTGGGCCTCACTGGACCTTGGTTCTCAGTGCTGAAGAAAAGGCATTATGGGAGCTGATGGCCAGGTCTCACCGTTTGTGTGTGTGTGTGTGTGTGTGTGTGTGTGTGTGTGTGTGTATATACAAGGTGCAGACGTGGGAGAGGCCCATGCTGTCGGTGGGCGTAGACAAGCATGCCACGCATGTAGGCGTAAGGGTAAACACAATAGCGATGGCCTAAGAGGGCTGCGCCTATACCCATAGAATCTGGATTTACAATACGTAACTATCGATATGACAAAGAACAGGAATTATGTGTATGGCAAAGATGGATCCCATACCTCAGCAGGCATACTTGGGTCTGTTGATGCTCGCTAATGGTACTAATCCAGTAAAGAAGCCACTGCCAGTTTATGGCATGCCCAGGCATAATTTCATATAAATGATATTTTTTGACCCTGAATTCCAAAAAAAGTGTAAAACTAGTGTTAATGATTTGGAAAGAGATTGGCTAAGAAAGTGTAACACGGAATTGGGTGATAATTTATACATTATGCTTTATAAACAGACAAACCAGACTGGTTCAATTTTAACCTGGGGAGGAGCATTACCTCTTGGCCTCAGGTGAAAATGCCAACAATGGTCGTTCAGGCTTGGCCTCAGGTGGCTCTAACGACCATAACGACGTTACAAAAGCCAGGAGCAACAAACCAGTGGTATAAATGATCTTAGCAAACAAACCCACAGAGGTTAAATTGCTGAGATTCCCCACTGGTCATTTTAGAACTTGTTGTTGTTGAGCCCTGCATTCCTAATGTGATTGTAAAGTAAATATATTGAACGAGTTTTTGGATGGATCTTTTATAGTAAGAAAAATGTGTTTAAACCTATTTATAAGCACCTATTTTTTAATACTTAACATATCCTAGGTGAACTCCACCAATTTTCCACATCAGTGTGTGTTTACAGGTGTTTTGTGTCTTCAAAGGGAGCTGTGTGAAAAATGTCCTCAAGTGATGTCACTTAAGTCAGTGTCAGTTGGGGCTGAGGACTACAAGTCTGACAATGAAATTAATCTCTCCAATCTCCTTAATCTTCCCTTTTGTTATCTTTTCTGCTACTCTTTCTGAGCTAAGTCCATATCATATTAGACTTGTTAATCGTGATTTTCGAAATAATCTTTTTTTTCTTTTGGGTGACCTCTGTCCTGAATTCTGTGTTTTACAATTTAAGTCCATTTTGTCATCAGAAAGAGTGGGTAATCCTCTGTTGGATAAGGACAATTTCAGCAATTCAATTAGTAATATTACAAAGTGAATCATTATCAATATATTTGATGTATCAAGCAATTATGCATATAGTACAGAAGAGAATAAGGGTCACACTTGAGTTCTGAGAATAAAGTTACAATTGATGATTTTATTCTCAGACTTCTGGCTTTAAAGTCCATGATTCATAAGGCCCTAGAAACGGTCTTGTTCTTAAAACGCATACCATATGATGTCCCTGGTTCAATTCCATTGAGGGACGTTTTTGTAGCATGGCCCCCCTCTCTCTCTTCTTCACAATTTTCTGTCTCTACTGTGACTTACCTAATAGAAATTCCATTCTATTTTCACATCCTAGGCTGAAGCTGCATTCTCTCCTGTGGCTTCTGTGCCTTCCTCCTCCAGCAACATTCTCAGCTCCTCTGATGGTGCCTACCAGTTCCAGATTGATGGACCAAAAAACTCCACCAACTTCCTATAGGGACATTACCTCCTGAAGAAGCTCCCTCCAAGTCCTCCCAGACTGATGTTACAATGCCCTCTGTGACCATTTTCCATTCCTTTCTTGAAGCATCCAAATCAGGGACACATAATGGCACAGGAGTAAGCAATGAGCCGCATTTGGACAGTACATTCTTTTCCTCTTTGCCTTGATCATTATATAAAGCTGGTGTAGTTTGAAAGCGTGCAACCGAAAAAATCCCACCCCCTTCCTTCAGACCTCCCTTGAAAGCGACTCCCCCCAGCCAGGCAGCATGTACAAGTTAGTTATTAATCAATTTTCCAGAGGTGAGAAGACAAAGAAAGGAAGTGTTTTTGTGAAGTGTGTAATAAAAATGGACATCCGATGAGTATAATAAAAACAGGGCTGGGTTCAGTTTACCAAAGGTTTAAGAGACGTTATCAGTACATGGTTGTGGTTTCTATCTACATTTTCAATGATTCCAAACTTGAGTATATTTCTTTGATTCCTTTTTTTTAATTTTTGTTAAGTGAGAGCTGACTTCTGATGTAATGTGCCGGGAAAATCAAGGAATCAAGAAAAAAGTCTAAAAAAGTCAACAAAAGGAAAGAAACCAGAGTGCCATGAAAACGATTGACTGAAAATCCCTCAAAAGTTATCGCTATCGGACGTCTTTGATGGGAAATGTTTCACTGGCCAAAAAAAAACAAAATAGCAATAAAATGTGTATTAAGACTTCAGACATGTTAAACAAAAATACACTTTATTATGACTACAGTTCTGCTACCCACAGTAGCAATGTCAGGTTGCTGTATGTCAGGTTTGCTCCAATGTCATTTAGTAAGAAATGTCTTTATAGCTAATGCTTAAGAGTTGCTGGTGAGCTTCTTATATTCTCCAGTGAATTGAGAAAGAGCTCTGTATCCTGGAAACACGGTCCTGTTGAGACAACAGCTAAAAAAACACAGTGCAGAGATTGCTCTTCTGACTGCACAATAGCCCCCAATATAAGCTCTTTTCCATCCAGTCAACCACCAGCATCAGTCAAGTGAGTGGATTGGTAAAATATGGATCAATCTGCGATGGGGCTCAAATGAGAGGAGTACAACAGCCAACCACTCTCTGTGCTATACTGTACACAAGTATAATGTGCCCTGTCAAATACACACACACATCACATCTTAATTATATTACCCTAAGTTCCTATCCTAGAATAGACTACTGCTAGGCCCCAGGTTTGCTGTCGAGTTGCCTTTAACTTAGTGCTTCTACCTTGACCTGGATGACTGAGAATCTTCACAGACACACACCTATTTTTTTATGAGAAGAGCTGTATGAAACAGAATTTCTACAATAGCTACCTCATTTTTTCATTCAATGCCTCTTCATAAATCAACACTGCTAAGACAGCTTGTACAGTATTGGTCGATGGAATGACTTTCAATTCAAATTGAAATTGTCAAACCCCCTGAATCCTCTGATAGTGATAATTCTGTTTAAATCACCTGGATTTGGTGGTAAGTCTGGTTGTCATGAATGCTAACAACTAAACTGTAAGAATACTGCCAGAAGAATTGCCTTTCAGGGTTGACTCAAGCCTCCTTACCGTTACAGCAAAAAACATATCACTCATTATCCTTTCAGAGCCTTTGGTGTCTGTGTCCCAACCATAAATCATAATCAAGCAGGAAGTAGTAGCATACACAGTGTGTATGTCAGTTATTACTCTGGACAGGCCATCAAGGAAATGCAGTTTGAGAGATAACAAACATTAACTGTCATAAACATAAAGGAATACACACAAATGATAAATTATAGATTAAGTTCCAACACCTTTTTGAGCTGTTGTGTTTTGGTTTTTTTTGTTAGTTAATTGTTGTGACTTGTGAATTGATTTGCTCAACTGGATGCTCAGCCTGTTGAGTGTCATCTAGGATGGAGGTCAGAAATCTTCCTACTTATCTAGGATGCTTACCTTAAAACCACAACAGACATTGAACTGTAAATAACATCACAAATGCCTTTCTCTGCCAAAGTCGGGTTTTATGTACAGTAGTCTTTCATTTTGTTTGTTGAGGTTAGTAAATACAGTGAACCTTGATACTGCCATCTCCACAGTGTATGCAGACCAGTTGATGTAGAGCTGTCAGTATTTTGTTGTGTTTGTGGTTGGCTGGATTCAGCTGATGTCCTGCAAATGGTGTCTTGACAACTGGATTTTTGGAGTCACACCTTAAACTGGGACAAACAGGTTCTGGACTGCTCTGCTGTCAGCATTTCATGTAAAAACACAGTGAGTGCCTTTTCATCTCTCAATGTGAAGGTGACGTTGATCTTTTTTCTTTCTGGGTAGATTGTCACATGAAAAGCAAAATAAGGTGTGTTTTTTGTTTTGTCTTTGTGTCCTAGATCTGATGTTCCTTAAATGTAATATGGGTTGAAGTGTGGTTCACACTACGTTGAATATGTTTTTAAAATTATTTTTGTGTAAATATAACCAATGATATTCACTAAGTGTAGTTGTAGCTGATAATTATGGCTGATGGAGTTGGAGATGCCTTCATTTTTGTGGTATTTTAGTCTTTCCAGTATCACATCCACCACTGGATTTTATGGTAGTGACATTGGTTTCGCGCCTGTTATTTTATACCTCTTCTACTGTACATGTGCAACCCTGTATCAATGAAACTACGCATGAATAAAGTGAAATTCTGTTTCTCTCATTTTCAAGTCAGAGCTGAAGTTGTGGTTGAAAAGTGCAAGCTGATAAATTATGATACTGTTACTGTAAATTTTTTGTTGAATTTCTCTTTATGTACAAATCTGTTATCACCCACAGAGCAGAGTCAGTCTGTAACAAGATCGGCTACATGAAAGGATTTGTCTTCTCCTGAAGAGGGAATCATAATAATAATAATAATAATGCATTTTATTTAATGGCGCCTTTCACCCAAGGTTACCTCACAAACAATATACAGATCACTGCATAAAACAATACACACAACAAACAAGCCGCATACAGATAAAATGCATTAAAAACTCAGTACAACATGTTATAAAAAAGCTTGTCTAAAAGATGTGTCTCAAGACGCGTTTTAAAAGTCAACAAGCAGTCGCTATTGCGAACATCAAGGGGAAGAGAGTTCCATGGGCGGGGGGCAGCATAACTAAAAGATCTGGCACCCATGGTATTTAGTCGAATCCGAGGTACCACAAGAGAAATTGAAGATGAAGATCTGAGAGATCTTCATCTGAGGCTAAACACAATTAAAGTTAATTTTCATGTTTAATCTTCATAAATAGTAAATTAAATGAATTAGAGACTGTTTTCAGAGCAGCAACAAAAGTAAAGTTTACAGCAGCAAAGTAAAAAATATTAAATTAGTATCTCACTGGAAAAATATGGACCATGTAAAATACACTATATTCCTGACATCAAAATACTGAGTCAAGTTTAGAAAGAAGACATCAGTCAGTCAGTCGTTCCTTCTCATCCCCCCTCTGCTGCTGCTGGTAGAGAGGAGCTGTTTTTTCTCAACAAGCAGCTGAGTTTAATTCAATTCACTTCAATTTTATTTATATAGCGCCAAATCACAACAACAGTTATCTCACAGCGCTTTTCATAAAAGAGCAGGTCTAGACCGTACTCTATGATGCTATTTACAGAAGCCCAACAGTTCCCACCAAGAGCAAGCACTAGGCGACAGAGGCAAGGAAAAACTTCCTTTTAAGAGGCAGAAACCTCGAGCAGAACCATGGCTCAGGGTGGGCGGCCATCTGCCTCGACCGGTTGGGTGAGAGAGAGAGAGAGAGAAAAAGAGAGAGAGAAAAAGAGAGAGAGAGAGAAAAAGAGAGAGAGAAAGAGAGAGGATGTAAGGATAGAGAGAGGGGAGGGAGGCAGCCTACACAATATACACACAGAGGTACAGACAGTGAAGGTAATGTTGCTATAATATATAGTTTACAAGGAGTTGCTAAATTTTTAGGTACAGTCCAGAGATTTAGCTTGTTTATAACTAGCTGTTTTTGGGGCGTAGTTATGGTCAACTTGTGTAATCTACACTGATGTACTCCGCTAGCTCTGCTCCCTGTATGCGTGTATGCTCTGCTGAGAGACCAGGAGAGGGACTGCAGCATGATGCCTTGCTCGTTCTATTGGCTACTTCAGAAATTAAATTTCAAGGACCGCCTTTTTTCAACTATGTAATATTGCGAAAATCAGGAACATCCTGTCTAAAAATGAATTGCAGTAATCCAGCCTAGAAGTAACAAATGCATGGACTAGTTTTTCTGCATCATTTTTAGACAGGATATTTCTGATTTTCACAATATTACGTAGGTGAAAAAAGGCGGTCCTTGAAATTTCCTTAATGTGAGACTTAAACGACAAAGATAACTCCAAGATTCCTCACAGTGGTGCTGGAGGCCAGGGCGATGCCATCAAGAGAAACTATATCTTTAGATAATGTGTCACAGAGGTGCTTAGGCCCCAGAACAGTAACTTCAGTTTTATCTGAGTTTAACATTAGAAAATTACAGGTCATCCAGGTTTTAACATCCTGAAGGCACATTTGAAGTTTAGCTAACTGATGAGTTTCATCTGGCTTGATCGATAGATATAACTGAGTATCATCTGCACAACAATGAAAGTTTATGGAGTGTTTCCTGATAATATTGCCTAAAGGAAGCATATATAAAGTGAAGAGGATTGGTCCGAGGACAGATCCTTGAGGAACTCCATGACTAACTTTGGTGTGCATGGAGGACTCATCGTTAACATGTACAAACTGAAATCGATCTGATAAATAGGAGTTAAACCAGCTTAGAGCGGTTCCTTTAATGCCAATGAAATGTTCCAGTATCTGCAATAGGATCTGATGGTCAATGGTATCAAATGCAGCACTAAGATCTAATAAAACCAGTACAGAGACAAGTCCTTTGTCTGATGCAATTAGGAGGTTGTTAGTAATTTTCGCCAGTGCTGTCTCTGTGCTATGATGAGCTCTAAATCCTGACTGAAAATCCTCAAATAAACTATTGCTCTGTAGAAAGTCACACAGCTGTTTAGCAACTGCTTTCTCCAGGATCTTGAGAGAAATGGAAGGTTAGATATAGGTCTATAGTTGGCTAAAACATCTGGATCAAGTTTGGACTTTTTCTGTGAAGTTACATTGCCGTGTTTATTTTAAATATAACTCACAACCAATAAAGCATACTTACAGGTTGTGATTGTGAATTTCCAGGCCCAGACACACACACCAGCGATCCACACGGCTTTCTCTTTTTTTAAGTTAAAACGTTTCAACATTCCTCAGAATGTAAAGATAGATAAGCGGTATGAAAACCTTTTTTTAAAATCACTCACTCAGTTAGAGGGTTGCAGTGCCGCAATAACCAGCCTAGTTAAAATGAACGAAATGACACAAAAAAAGATGAGTTCATTTTAATGAATGAGATTTGGTGACTCGAGTCTGTCAAAAGAGTGATTTTTCCCATCACTGCCGCACAATAGTCAGTGTTGATACTAGACTATTACTCGTGACTTGTAACCAATCAGCTAGAACTGTGGGCGGGACTTTGTTTCAGCACACAGAGTGGTGAGTACAGACAGAGAGAGGCGGTTGCATCAGAGCCAAAGGAGTGCATTTTTAAATTAATTAATTATATCGGGTATCTGTTTTTAAAATGACCGATGCAGGTTATTGGAAAAATAATCGGCCAGAACGATTATTTGTCGACCCCTAGTACGGTGTGTGTCAATTACTAATAATGACAATTAAATCCAAAATGTCTTCCTGCTGGGCATTGCTCCAAGAGGACTTCTGGATATGATATATGTATCACAGACATTTTGTACAAATCTTTTTTGCAAAAATCCGCACTCTTCTACCTTTTGGGGGCGCTATATGGGCTATATGGGCTTGGAACTCCCACCCACGAAGGCGCATATCACAAACCTTATATCCACGCGTTCAGGTGATGGAGCTGAATCTCCTGCCTCACCCATTTCCGCCTAGACTTTTTTTTTTTTCGCAAAAGTGGGAAAAATGAAAAACCTTTTTTAATTAACTCCTCCAAAATGGCAACTCTAATTGGCACTAAATTTGGCACGGACCATCTCTAGACCAAGCCGATGAAAGTTTTTAGAGGAAACTTTGATTCACGAAAAAATGTCCCAATTATAAGCTAACAAATGTTTGCGAAAAATGCTAAAAACAGGATGTGATGTCATATTTTAGGTTTTCAACGTCTGAACTACACCAAACTCGCGGACCTTTTCTGGGACGCCCTCCCGAGGGGCTATGTAAAATTTGCTGTCAATCAGCCTCTAGGTCGCGCTGTTAATCGTACATGAAATAACACTCCTGTAGACATACGCCGGCCGGGGGTTTGGACCCCGCTTACAACTGCTTGCAGTTCTAGTTATAATTATTATTATTATATGGCCCCGGTCTACTCATAGGTCCTGACAGTTCTAGTTTAGGATAAGGTTAGACATCTGGACAAGGTTAAATTGTAATTTTAACAGTCATGAGTAGAGTCAATTATCATAACATGTACCTATTTCCAGGAAAAAAACCTAAAATAACATTCCCAAAATAAATCAGTAACATCTCCTCAACCATTTGCCCTAGATACATAATTCTGGTCTCCTTTGAAAGGTCAGAAGCTACGGAATATAAATCCATTGTACATTAACATATTTATTTTACCATTACAGACTACATGGAGATGCAATACAGAAAACAATATGATATTTTCATCCTCACCTGGTAAAAAAAAGCTATATTTTAATGCAATAAACCAAAAACCATCATAAGGTAGATTATAATGCACCTAAATATCTTCTAATACACCTGGAATACAACTGTAACTGTAAATTTGATGAAAAGAAACTGATACAACAGTTATTACACAATATTTTGGCCATATTTACTGTTTATATGTTCACTTTTATTGGGAGTTAGCTTCAAAACATTATTTCTCTCCATACGGCCACGTTCCAAATAACATAAAGCTTCCAAAACATTGAATATTAATATATGAATAAATTGATTTAAAAAAGTCAATATACAGGTGCTGGTCATATAATTAGAATATCATCAAAAAGTTGATTTATTTCAGTAATTCCATTCAAAAAGTGAAACTTGGATATTATATTCTTTCACACAGACTGATATATTTCAAATGTTTATTTCATTTAATTGTGATGATTAAAACTGACAACAAATGAAAATCCCAAATTCAGTATCTCCGAAAATTAGAATATTACTTAAGACCAATACAAAAGAAGGATTTTTAGAAATGTTGGCCAACTTAAAAGTTTGAACATGAAAAGTATGAGCATGTACAGCACTCAATACTTAGCTGGGGCTCCTTTTACCTGAATTACTGCAGCAATGCGGCATGGCATGGAGTCGATCAGTCTGTGGCACTGCTCAGGTGTTATGAGAGCCCAGGTTGCTCTGATAGTGGCCTTCAGCTCTTCTGCATTGTTGGGTCTGGCGTATCGCATCTTCCTCTTCACAATACCCCATAGATTTTCTATAGGGTTAAGGTCAGGCCAGTTTGCTGGCCAATTAAGAACAGGGATACCATGGTCCTTAAACCAGGTACTGGTAGCTTTGGCACTGTGTGCAGGTGCCAAGTCCTGTTGGAAAATGAAATCTGCATCTCCATAAAGTTGGTCAGCAGCAGGAAGCATGAAGTGCTCTAAAACTTC